ACACTTTTTGTTTTGATGAAATTCAGTTTCTCTTTGCTTTCTTCTATCACTTGTGGGATACTCTTGCATGATGTTGAGATTCTGTACAACATTAACTTTTGGAGACTTGGGAGAAGGTAAGAGTATTTATATATGAAAGCAACATGACTTATTGGGGGTCAGCAGACAGACTGTGATAGGTTGTCTCCTTCATGGCCCCGATGTAGGAGGGGCCAATGTTGACTCCTCTAGGTAGCCCCCCATCAATGCTGTATAACCAATAGGATATAGAAATGGTGACATGTGACTTCTGAGGCTAGGACACTGGCTCTGCCTTGCTCTCTCGTATCTATCACCCTGGAGGAATCCAGAGCCATGCTGCAAGATTACTCACTATGGATAAGGTGATGTGGTGAGGAACTAAGGCCTCCTGCCAACAGTCAGATCCTGTTCACCATCTGTGTTAGTGGCTTGTCTTGAAAGCAGAGGCTCAGCCCAGTTAAGCTGATGACTGCTACAATCTTGGCTACAATCTCATGGAAACCTCAAATCTGACCCATCCAGCCAAGCCACTTCTGAATTCCTGAACCAAGAAGCTATCTGAGATAATAAATGTTTATTGCAGCTTAAAAAAATATAAAGAATAAGAGACCATCATCCAGCCCATGATCACAAAGATTCACTCCTCTGTCTTCTTCCAGGATTTTTTTTTCCCCCAAGAACTGGGGTGTAAGCCAGAGGGGCAGGGAGGTGAGAAGAGTCACCAGAGACAGAGCAGGGAACAGAACAGGCAGAGCTACTGAAAAACACTGCTGAGGGGAGCAGTGGGAGAGACAGGAGAGGTCTGCTGTGCCATGTGGGTCAGCTCCCTGGCCGGGGGTTGAACTCATGGTGCAGTGGCTGCAGACTGCCTCATAGCTGAGACTTAACCCCTTGTGCCACCAGGGAGGCTCCCACTTCCAGGATTTCTATAGCTTTAGCTCTGTCATTTAAGTCCTGCTTTGCTTTAGATTTGGTCACAGGCTAAGGTAAACTTATCTTTGGCATGTGGTCATCCTGTTGTTGCAGCACCATTTGTTAAAGGACTATCCTTATTGAATTGCCAAGACTTAGCATAAAATATTAAATTTGTGGAGACAAGTGGAATGTGCTGAATCTTACTCATAGATTACTATAAACATTTCAGTTTTTCATTATTTTATGTTTTCACAGCACAATGATGTTTACATATTGTAAAAATGACATATGAGGGCCCTCCCTGGTGGCACGACAGCTGAAGCGCAGCACTATGGAGCAGCCCCAACAGCTTCAGCACAAGTCAGATCCTTGGCCAGGAACTCGCCCCCAGGGCGCAGCAGACCTCTCGTCTCGCCCCCTGCTCCATCTGCTCTGCTGCTCCCCACTCTGTCTCTGGTGAGTCCTCTCATCACCCCTGTACTTCTGGCTTGTACCCCAGTTATGTATGCATAAATAAATAAATCTTTTTAAAAATGCCATACACTGGGGGCTCTCCCTGGTGGTGCAACAGGTTGGAGCACAGTGCTACGAAGCTAGCCGAAGGCCGAAGCCCTCTGCTGCGTCTCCAGTGTCTCCTGCTGCTCCCCTCAGCAGTGTACTTCGTCAGTCTGCCTGTTCTGCTCCCCACTCTGTCTCTGGTGAATCCTCTCATTGCCCCTGCACCTCTGGCCTGTACCCCAATTCCATATGCATAAATAAATAATTCTTCCCCAAAAAATGACATGCTGAAAAGTACATATTAAAATTATGTATTAATTCATGGGTTAATTATAGACCTATCAGATATTAATTTTTTCCATTTAAATGAGTGCAAGGTCTGGGCCTCCCTGTTGCTGCATGGGATTAAGTCTCAGCAGTACGTAGTGTTCCCAGCCACTGCTACATGAGTTTGATCCCTGTCAGAGAGCTGACCCACATGGCACAGCAGACCTCTCCTGTCTCACCTGCTGCTCCTCTCAGGAGGGTATTTCAGTCAATCTACTTGTTTTGTTCCCCATTCTGTCTCTGGTGAATCCTGTCACACCACCCCCTACCTCTGTCCTATATCTCAGCTCTTATAGGCATAATAAATAAAAATAAAATATTTAAAAATAAATAAGTAAAAATTAAAATAGTCCCATTATTTTTCCCTTACAATTACAATTAAAGGCCACTGTATTGATGGTGTTTTATGATGCGTGTAAGTTATTTATCTGTATATTTGTTTTTGGATAGTAAAGGGATATTAGAATACGCGTGCTCTGAAAAGGGGGGCTGCTCAGTCTGTTGGATTGAGGTCTCCCAAGATGGAAGTGTGAATTTCAGAGCAGACAGATCTCCAAATGAAAATTATACCATTTTGCCTGCCCTGGGAGTTCAGATGTTGTTTCATCATTGACGCGGTGTCCCCTGACGGAGGCCTTGGAGAACGCCATACAAAAATGTTGCCACGTAGCCTTCACTTAAGAAGTCAACTTGGGCTTTATCTCGAGCAGGTAAAACACCCTATAAAAAACAAGGGACAATCTTAAAACAATACAAAACAAACACCGCAGACCAATACAGCAGCTTTGGAAAATAACCAGCACCAAGCATAGCATTTGGCACACCAGAGACTCAATAAATCCGTGACGTGTGTCGCAGGATTCTTGGTACGGATCCAGGGCCTGGCACTGAGTAGTCACAGGACAATTAATGCCATTTTAGAGTCTTGGGTTCCTTGTGCCTAAAATGGGGGAAGGGCCTCCCTGTCAGCGCAAGCGGTAAAGCCTTAGCACTATGAAGCTGTCTGCAGCACAAGCTCGACCCTGGCCAGGGAGCTGACCCACAAGGCGCAGCAGGCCTCCCTGTCTCGCCGGGGGCTCCCCTCAGCAGTGGGTTTCAATCTGCTTGTTCTGCTCCCCGCTCTGTCTCTGGTGAATCCTCTCACCCTCTACCCATACCTCTGGCCCACACCCCAACTCTTGTATGTATAAATAAATAAAATAAATCTTTAAAATGGGGTAAAGAAGAACGTCTGCTTGTGAGAGCTTGTGAGAACAACATCAGGCAACACAGGGTCACACAGAGTGAGTTCTTAGCAGACGCCAGCTCTCCTTCCAGTAGAACTTCCAGGCAAATCACATTGCGGGGGAAATTTGAAGGAGGAGATGTGTCTTCTCTGGGAAAAAAATGTTAACGATTTATTTTATTTATTGATGCTGGGGTGTAGGTCAGTAGTGTCTGGAGTGAGAGGATTCACTAGAGACAGAGTGGAGAGCAGAACAGGCCGATTGAAACACGCTGCTGAGGAGAGCAGCGGGCGAGACAGGGAGGTCTGCTGGGCCTTGTGGGTCAGCTCCCTGGCCGGGGATTGAACTCAGGCCTCAGTGCCTGACGGTAGCTTAATTACACTGAGACTTAACCTCTTGCACCACCAGGGAGGCCCCTCTCTGAAAAAGTTTTACAAGCTTAAGGATGAAAAGCAGAAGAGACTCACTAACTGTGTTTTGGAGGTAGCCAGAGAGGTGAGGGGACTCTGAACCCAGGAGAGCAGACAGGGGCAAATAGAGTATGTGCTCAATAAATATTTGTAGAATGAGTAAACTGGAGGGAAGTAAGTTGGTAGATATCACCTGCCCTCCTCCCCAGAACAAACCCTGCACAACATTTCCTGGAAAAACAGGAAGTCCGGATGGGGAAGATAATGATGGTTCGATTCAATTCAACAATTTGTCACCTACTCATTCTGCACCAGGCCGTCCGCATAGAATGAGTAAGCCTTTCCTTCAAGGAACTCCAAGTTCCCTCCATAAACACAGACTTAACTTGTTGCGGTAGTTGATGCCAAGCAGTGTCCTAGACATACACATCATGATACTTGAACCTCACAACAATTCTAGGAGGCAAGGAGTTATCACCCCCCTTTTATAGATGAGAAACAGAGGCCTGGAGTGATTAAGTAATTTATGGAAGGTCAAACTGCCAGTAAATGGTGGAGCCAGGATGCTCAAACCCAGCTGTGTGACTGAGATTATACTTAAGTGCTGTAAGCACCTAGAAAAGGAAATGATCCGTTTTGCCTGGGGTCTGTCTGGAAAGACTTCACTGAGATAATGGAAGAACCAGAAGGACACAGACAGCAAGCAAGTGGTTCCCACCGCATTCTACACCGTGCTTATCTCACCGATCCCGGTGAAGGACCCCATGAGCTTGTGGTGTTGCCTCATGAGGAAACAGGCTCCAAGAACTGGAGTTGGTCAGGTCCTAATTGTGTGTGTCACTCCCACTAAATCATACGTGACGAGGTGCGTGAGGCAACATCATGGACAAACCGCCCTCTCAGGTCCACTGGGGATAGAGCTCAGTGTAACACTTTCCAGTTTCCGAACTGCTCTACATAATCTCGCTGTCCCGCGAGAAAGGAACAACATTAATTTTGTCCTCCACAGATAAATCTGCATCTGATGATGACACCAGGGAGGCCTCTAGAGCCACCACGGTATTAACTCTCCCCCTGCTGCTCAGGGCCCCTCCTCCCCGCTCTTCATAGCCCTGCTCCTTTCCTGGCTAATGCCTTTAGCACACCTTGCCACCATGAAGGGGCCTTCTGTGCACACGGTAACTGTCTTCATCTTTATCTATAAATGTCTGCATAAGCGTTTGGTTCTCCTGCCCCATGAGCCTCTAGAGGCAAATGTGTTAATCATTCCATGGCCTCAGGGTTTTGCATAGTGAACGCCTTTTATTAGTATCATCTTTATGAGCGTTACTTTGAATGTTTTCCCCCAAGAAATCGTATGCCTGCTGTGTTTCCTGTCCCCTGGGGTTCGGGAGCCTCTGCTGAATCCTCCACTCAGATTTTGATCTAGATTCTTCCTAAAGTTGTCATCCACACATACCTTCCAGAATTTCGCAGGGCCTATAATCACTTACAGCCTGGAGGAAGCCAGTCGCCCTTTACAAGTATGGTTGCAGTTGCCTCACTTCCTGTGTCATGTGACTCCATAGTTATCACATGACCCATCCACTCCTTTAAGCCGGAATTAACCCGCAGGGCTAACCCAGTGTCTATAGCTACCGCAGGCACCTGCATCCCTGTTTTTATTTAGTGGATCCTCTATTCCTCCAAGGCTCTGGGAACCCTGCGGTCTTCTCATCTGGTGACACTGAGAAGATGGAGCTTTCAAATCCTCCCAAAGAGGTGAGTGGACCAGGGCTTGCCATGCTGCTTCTGGAATCCTGACCAGCCAGGCTCCGGCATTTGACGAATGACAGACCTAGCTCATCATGGAGGAACAGAGGGAGGGAGAGATGGGTCCAAGGAGAAATGGGTAGGAAGAGGGGTAGAGAAGGTTTCTTGGCTGGTGCTCAGAGCTGCCTCTAGCAGAGTTTGGAGGGAAGGCTGCCCCCAGCTCCGGGGCCTTGCCCCTCCCCAGGCTGCGGGCACCTGTTGGCATCTGAGCCCTACCGGAGCACAGCTGAAGGGTGGGGAGGGGCTCGTCTTCCAACACCCCTCATTCTGTTCTCAGGAATGTCACAAGCCCCTGCGCTGGGGACGCGTCCTGGCCTCCAGCCTCGCAGGGCTGCTTCTGCTCCAGGCAGTGCCAGGGATTTCAGGTGAGTAAGTGGAGGAGGAGGCTCCCCTCTGCCTTTTGTCCTTTCTGGCATACTAGTGGGGGGCTTCAGTAGGTGATCATAACACCTCTGGAGACACTGAAGCCAACCTTGGAATGGGGGTATAGCAAGTGGAGTTTTGAAACCAGGTTTAGTCTCTTTCTTCCATGTACCCCTTCTCCCTGGCCTCGTCCTTCAGCCCTTGCCTCTGCTGTACCTCCTCCCTCTCAGGCACCCGCCCCTGCAGCCCTAAGAGCTTTGGCTACAGCTCTGTGGTCTGTGTCTGCAATGCCACATACTGTGACTCCTTGGACCCCCTGACCCTGCCTGCCCTTGGCACCTTCAGCCGCTATGAGAGTACACGCAGCGGGCGCCGGATGGAACTGAGCGTGGGGAGCTTCCAGGCCAACCGTGCAGGCACAGGTAACCGCCCCACCCCGCACCCCTGAAGCCAGCTGCGATCTTTCTGGAGTTATCACGCCGGTGATGACCACAATCGTCCCCCTGTGCACTGACGTCCTTTATTCCCGTGGCTGTCCACAGGGCTGCTGCTGACCCTGCAGCCAGAGCAGAAATTCCAGAGAGTGAAGGGATTTGGAGGGGCCATGACAGATGCTGCTGCTCTCAACATCCTTGGCCTGTCACCCCCTGTCCGGGATTTGCTACTCAGGTCGTACTTCTCTGAAGAAGGTGAGGAGGGGACATGACTTGGTGCAGCTCACACTTTTCTTTAACCTTTCGTCTGCCTTGGTATTTCACCCACCTGGACATTTGGGTCCTGCCCAGTGAGGTAAGATTGCCCTACCCGTCTTCTGCTAGGTGCTTGGGGACTCTCGGCTCAGAAGGACCAGTGCTGCACCCGGCCCCCTGGCTCCACAGACCCCAATCCCAGAGCCCCTTTGGTCCTGACTCAGACAGTTTTGAGGATGGGCGAGCAGTAGGCCGGACTCCACGTGCTCCTCTTGATTCTGACTCGCGTGCACGGGTCACTGTATTCTTCAGGAATTGAATACAATATCATGCGGGTGCCCATGGCCAGCTGTGACTTCTCCATCCGCACCTACACCTATGCCGACACCCCTGACGACTTTGAGTTGCAAAACTTCAGCCTCCCAGACGAAGATGTTAAGCTCAAGGTGGGCACCCTGGCTGCCTCCAGCCCTGGTGGCGTTGACCGCTTGAGGCCGAGAAGCCTCAGGCTAGAGCAGCCTACAGAGACACAGACCTGCCCCTGCTCTCTGCTGTGTCCTGGGGGTGGGAGGGCGGGGGCTGATGACCAGGCCTGACACACTGGTTGGGCCAGTCTGTCTGTGTTCCAACTCTGGGTGTCCCTCCTCACTGCCTTTGTCTCTAGATACCCCTGATCCACCAAGCCCTGCAGCTGACCCGACGCCCCATCTCACTCTTCGCCAGCCCCTGGACATCACCCACTTGGCTCAAGACCAATGGAGCAGTGAACGGGAAGGGGACACTCAAGGGTCAGCCGGGGGACCGCTACCACCAGACCTGGGCCAAATACTTTGTCAAGTAAGGGAACAGCAGGGCTGTGGGATGTCAACCAGCCTCCCTCTTGCACCCCCATGTCTGTCTCAACCCTTGATCTGCCTCCAGATCTGTTCTTTTCAGGTCACTTTATTCCCTTTGGGTCTTTCAAGTGCTGGTCATTCTCGTTGTCGTCATCGTCTTCTTCATTTAAAAAAAATTCATTTATTCATACAGAACTGGGGTATAGGCCAGAGGTGCAGGGGTGGTGCGAGGATTCACCAGAGCAGAGTGGGGAGCAGAACAGGCAGGCTGACAAATATACTGCTGAGGGGAGCAGTGGGCGAGGCTGGAAAGGTCTGCTGCTCCCTGGCTAGGAATCGAACTCTTGCTGAAGCTGTTGGGGCTGGCTTTGCAGTGCTGCACTCCAGCCCGTTGCTCTCCCAGGGAGGGCCCAGGTGCTAGTCTTTCTTGGTGACGGTCCCTTACACCCTTTCCTCCACCAGGTTCCTGGATGCCTATGCTGAGCACAAGTTAAAGTTCTGGGCAGTGACAGCCGAGAATGAGCCCTCTGCAGGGCTATTCAGTGGGTACCCCTTCCAGTGCCTGGGCTTCACCCCTGAACACCAGCGAGACTTCATTGCCCGTGACTTGGGTCCTACCCTCGCCAACAGTACACATCGTGATGTCCTTCTGCTCATGCTGGACGACCAACGCTTACTGCTGCCCCACTGGGCCGAGGTGGTAAGGCCTGGGACCTCCGCGTGTACCTTAATGACTCCCAGATCCAGTATCCAAGTACTGGACACTGTTACTCTCAAATTGAGTAACTTCCCTGTCCCACCTCTCAGTTCCTGGAATACTTGGGGCTGGGGTCAGGTGCTGAGATAGCACCTCTGAGGTGTTGGGGGTGCCATGACTTCTGGAGCTCCAGGGCCCTGTGGATCCCCATGGTGGATCTCTTTAACTTCCTCCCTCTAGCTGCATTCATCCCCCTCACCCATTTCTTAGGCGCCCTAGGGCCTCTTCCAGAACCTCCCATGAAGGACTGGCACTTGGCTGCCATTCCCCAGTGGTCCTTCCCTTCCCTGTACAGGTGCTGGCAGACCCAGAGGCAGCTAAGCACGTTCATGGCATTGCTGTACATTGGTACCTGGATTTTCTGGCTCCAGCAAAAGCCACCCTGGGGGAGACACATCGCCTGTTTCCCAACACCATGCTCTTTGCCTCCGAGGCCTGTGTGGGTTCCAAGTTCTGGGAGCAGAGTGTGCGGCTAGGCTCCTGGGACCGAGGGATGCAGTACAGCCACAGCATCATTACGGTGAGCCGCCTGCCTCTCCTGCCACAGACAGGCCACCACAACTCTTCCAGTCTGGCCAGACTAACGAAAGGCCTTCCTCTCCAACTCTTCCTCAGCTTACTTGCTCTTTGGGCCAAAATATGGGCTATTATGATGCCCTATCTTGTCTCCCCTTCACAGATCCACATATCTATCACCCTTTTTCCAAATGCTTGGGTCTCAGGCAGTTACACTGCCTCCATTTCTCCACTTTTCTTGTGAGGCCTCTGATCTTCACACTCCTCTCCTTTCCTTAGATACTAGAGGTACAGATCGCCCCTCACGGGGCTGAACCACCACAGCCCTTCCCATGGGTCCCTTGATTCTCTGGGGACTCCAGTGTGGGAGCTATCTGTGCCCTGCTCCTATTCTAGAACCTTCTCTACCATGTGGTCGGCTGGACTGACTGGAACCTCGCCCTGAACCCCGAAGGCGGGCCCAACTGGGTTCGCAACTTTGTCGACAGCCCCATCATCGTGGACATCGCCAAGGACACATTTTACAAACAGCCCATGTTCTATCACCTTGGCCACTTCAGGTGGGTGGGGAGCAAGCACCCCCATCCTGCATCAGGCTTAGCGTCTCCTGCACCAAGCTTGTCAGCCACAGGAAGCAGGAAGATGTTTAGGGTGGGACTCTGCGGAGGCACGCCCATCTGGCTTGCAGCACCATCTAGGCAGGAAGTGACTGGATGGTATCGGAGATACAGACATCCCCAGACGCCCGATGCCCGGGCTGGGCGGACGGGGAGAGGGGGCAGGGCATGCCAGCAGCACGGCTCAAGGCTCCTAAGTCTCAAGGAGACTTAGGCAGAGCTCTGGGAAGGGCCTGGGGAGAGCAGGACTTCTCAGGTGAAGGATTGGCAGAACTATTCAGAACTGTCCCTGACGATGCGGGTTCCCCTTCCAGCAAGTTCATTCCTGAGGGCTCTCAGAGAGTGGGGCTGGTTGCCAGTGAAAAGAGCGACTTGGAGACAGTGGCCCTGACGCATCCCGATGGCTCCGCAGTTGTGGTCGTGCTGAACCGGTGAGCAGTGGCAGACTTGGAACCTGGCTGCAGGCGGGAGGGTGGCTTGGGGGGGTCACACTCAGCTTCCCCCTCCCCCTCCAGCTCTTCTAAGGACGTGCCTCTCACCATCGAGGATCCTGCCCTGGGCTTCCTGGAGACCATCTCACCTGGCTACTCCATTCACACCTACCTGTGGCGACGCCAGTGCCAGTGATGGAGCAGATACCAAGCAGGCCCCGGGCTCTGCGTGGGCATTAAAGGCACAGTCAGCTCACATGCTGTCTGTGGCTAAAGAGGGCACAGTAGGACTGGGGAGGGCTGAAGTGACGCAAGCCCGGGGCAGTGGTTAGGGTGACTCACTCTCCCCCGCTAGCTGGTGCCAGGGGCTGAGGCCCCTAGGGAAAAGATCTGGAAGCCCCAGTGGCCCCCCACCCGCATGCTTGTGTAAGCGTGTGCCATATGCCTGTGGAAACTGGGCCTAGGCCCAGGGTGAGCTCACTGTCTACAAACACAAGATGGGGAGGGGTGAGGAAAGAAACTAGGAAAGCTGGACCCAAAATGTGACTGTCTTTCTTTCCTGGAGATGCAGAATCGGGCCAGGCAGAAGCAATGTCGGCGGCATCAGGGCACAGGCAGCTGAAGAAGCCAAGCACCATGGGTAGGCCAGGTGCCCAGATGGCCTCTGTGGCACAAGTTAGGAGAAGGATGGTAGCTCTTTAAAGGAGCAGAGGTCTGGTCCTAGTTGGAGTGAGCACATTTATTCTGGGAATGGCAACCCATTTCTGGGTGTACCAGCAGTGGAGAGACAGGGACCTCTGGAATGCATGACAGTAGAAAAACCAGTCCTGGGGGCATGAGGACAAATCATTCCTCTTCATCCTCCTCAGCCATGCCCAGGGAGCGTGTGCCTGGGGCCCGGGCCGGTGTCGCCCGCTGGATAGAGACAATGCCACTGAGCAAGGCATAACCCACCATGGCTACCAGCCCTGCCAGCACAGACAGGATCTGGTTCCGGCGCCGGTATGGCTCCTCTTCAGTCTCTGGGCCTGCTGGTGTCTGGCGTGGCGGTGGCACTTCAGCTGAGGGACAAGCAAGGAAGGTCAGCCAGGGGCTAGTTCCTTGACACGCGTCCCCCTCCCCCTCCCCCGCCACTCGCCCACACCACCCATCTGCCTCTTACCTCCATCCCAGGGGAAGTAGAGGCTGAGGATGTGGGTGCAGTAGGCACAGAGGTTGTGCAGCCCCCGCAGGTGGGCCTGCAATTTCCCGCTGGGCAGCTTGGCCTGCAGCAGCAAGGCCAAGTAGCTAAAGACAAAGGCGTCCAGGGAGGCAGGGCTGGAGCGAGAGAGAAGGGTGGGGTGGAGGGCAGCTGGGGCAGGAGGGTAGAGATGGAGTGGGAGGAAGAGTCGGTCTTGGGAGGTGGGATCTGGGCAGCAGGGGGCCACCAGGGAGGCAAGGACACACAGTTCTGGTCTGGGGAGGGTTCTCAGGTGGCGCCAGCCTGGCCCTGAATGGGACTCTATCCCAGGGCTGCATAAAGGGCACATTGAGCGCCCTGCAGCCTCCAAGGCCCCTCCTGTGCCTGGCAGCCCTCCCATCCTCCTGGACCACTAGAAGGCTCCAGCCCCAAACATAGCCCCACTTGTCACCAGACCCAGTGTCTGTCCCAGGACCCTCTTCAGAGCCTGAGCCCACCACGGCCCCTGCAGTTGTATCTGAACCTGTATCTCCTTTCAAGCCACCTGTTAATACCCCCGGATTCAGACTCACGCATCTCCAAAGAAGAATTTCTGAGAGCCCAGGCGCTGAGAGAGAAGGGTCAGGCACTCGCGAGCCTCTTGATACAGCTAGAGGGAGGATACAGGTAGGCTTGAGGCTGTGGGAACAGTGCCGCCTCCCTTTCTAGCCATTCCCATTCCCACTTCACCCTTGGGGCTCCCCTCATGCAAAAGTCCCCGCCCCAGAGGTACCTCCTTCTCCAGCTCTTCCTCATTCTCAGGCCTTTGCTCCCCACACAGCAGCTGCAGTCGCTCCATGTACTGCCGCTGCATGCGGCCAGGCAGGAAGAAGTTGAGAGGAAAGGGCATAGCCTCTGCATACCACTTCCGGGTCACTTCCACATAGTTCTTAGTGTCTACCCAAAAAGTATGTATCTGGATTTGGGGGTGGGGTTGGAGGGAAGAAACAGGTCTGGAACAGCATGCCTCCCTGACGAAGGGTGGGCTCCTCATCCCCATACTGCTCCCACTCGGCATCTGGGCGGGGGTCTGCTGGTCCCCTCCCCCACTGGCCACGAAGGCTGGGTGGTCTGGACACACTCACCAGCACCGGGAGCAGCTTCTCCTCTAACAGAGACATGAAGGCCAAGGTGTCTGCCCCTTGCCGGGCTGACAGGTCATAATCGGCATTATACTTCTGTGGAAGAAATGTCCATGAGGTGGCTGCTGGGGCGCTTCCCCGGGGGGGAAGCGTCTTGCCTGGTGCCACCCTCAATGACCTCAGCACAGCAGTAGGAGCACAAGGAGCTTTTCCCTGAGGCCCCTTCCCGGGGCCCAGCCAGTAGCCTGTTGCTGTTGGCGGAAAGCCTGAGCCTTGGAGCCTGCTGGTCATGAAGGTCCCACATCCACGGTGGGGGAGGAAGGCAGGCAGGCCCGGCCGCAAACTAGGAGCAGCTCCCGGAGTTTCCACAGAAAGCTGGCAGCACGCCTGCTGACGGCAACTTTCTAGCATAACTTCCCTGATCCAGGCACCACAAAGCTAGCAGAGTGCTCTCTGCTCTCCACTTAGGCTGGTCCTAAGGCAGGTAGGGCATCAACCTTACCTTAGGGTAAGCTCCTGGCCTCAAGCTCCTGGCTCCCGGCTTGTTCCCTCACTGTGTAGCCCTTGGCTCTTCTATTCCATTCCATAGCCTGGGTGCCACCACCACACATGCATTCCAGCCAGCCTACTACACCTTTATGGGCTCTAGTGTCTCTTCTGAACTCCCCTCCACATCCTGAGTGAGCTTTGCCCTCATATAACCTTGGGGCATGATCCTTAAATCTGTGACTCAGTTTCGCTTCTGCAGAATGGGGGCAGTGATCACTTCTCTCTTAACATGTCAGTGTTAGGAGAAAACTCTTTGAAAATGGAAAAGCTGTTTTCACAAATAAGGAAACTGGGCCTTGGCCCAGGCCCTGTCAGGAATGATGGCTTTTAGCAGGATCCCCTCTAGTTGCCTCTCAAGCTATTATTTCCCACCTTTTTCATCTTCGGGGAAGTAGAAATGAAGAGGATCCCACTTCTGACAATGTGCTCCCTTTTGGAACCAGACCATGAAAGAGAGAAGAACCCTCAGGAAGCATCCTGGCTAAGCCCCCTGGTTATAACAAATATGGAGCTGACAGCTCTGAGAGGTTAAACGACCTGCCTACACAGCTACATGGTCAAGGGCAGGGTGAAGAGCGCAGTCTAGGCCTCCTCCTTCTGCTTATAAAAAGTTCCCCTGCCTCAGCTTTGAAGTCCCAAAACCAACCAACCTGATAGCTAAAAGCAGGCCCTTAGAAGTCCCTCTGAGAAGTCTCTTAAAGAGCCTAACGTGAGCCAACTGCACTCTTACTTCCCTTTCCCTTCCATGTGTCATCAGCCTATTCAGCTCTCCCTGCCCACTCTGCAGGTAGAAGGCACCGTGCCTCCCACAACACCCCAGCTTAATCTTTGGCTTGTTTACAGCCTCACAAGCAACAGTGTGCATGTCTCTTCCATCTGATTTCGTGCCCTTTGAAGCTCTGAGTCCCCTGCACCTAGCTTGGCATATATTTGGTGCGCAATAAATGTGTGTTATATTGAACTGATTGAACTTCTCACTGACCTCCCCTTCCCCAAACTACGTACCTCTTTTCGAAGCTGGGTGATGATCTTGTGTGGTACTGAGATGACTTCTCCATGGCTGGTCCTCAGGGCAGGCAGAGTTCCTGACAGAGAAAGCAGCACACCCTCCCAACTCTTAGTTGCAGAGTCATACATATTTGTACCACATCCCCATCTGTCTCCTGCCCCTCCCTAGTACACGCCTCCTCACCCCCCAGAGACACTGGGTACCTGAAGGGCTCCGCCAGGGGTTGGCGATCTTGTGTACCTTTAGTGGGGCACCAGTAAATCTGGCATAGGTCTGCAGGGAAAGAAGCAAAACAGGCTGAGGCCCTGGCCCAGACAGGGAATAAAAGAATACATTTATTGAAAACCTTTTGGGGGACTCTTCCTGGTGGTGCAACAGGTTAAAGCACCGCATTATGAAGCTCTCTGAAGCCACCGCCGCACAAGTTCCATCCCCGGCCAGGGAGCTGACCCACATGGTGCGGCAGACCTTTCCTGACCCGCCCACTGCTCCCCTCAGCAGTGTATTTCAGTAGATCTGCCTGTTCTGCTCCCCACTCTGTCTCTGGTGAATCCTCTCACCCATGCCACCTCTGGCCTGTACCCCAGTTCTGTAAGCATAACTAAATAAATCTTAAAGACTTTTGGGGGGCCCTTCCTGGTGGCCTGCCTGCTGCTACCCTAAGCAGGGTATCTCAGTACATCTTTGCCTATTGTGCTCCCCACTCTCTCTGGTGAATCCTCTCACCACACTACCCTCGGCACCTCTGGTCTGTACCCCAGTTTTGTATGCATAAATAAATAAACTTAGTCCTTCCTTGTTCTTTTACTGACTTTGTGACCTTGGGGTGATCCCTTGTCATCTCTGGGTGCTGTTTCTTCATCCGGGGTTGGACAGTCTCAGGGTTCTCTGGCCTTAGTATTCCTGTTTTTCCTTTGCCTCCCTTTCCTCCTCTTCACTAAACATCACTTAATGAGCTTTCTGTTTATTTTACCAAAAGGCCCATAGCCTGGCTCAGTAGAAGGAGCTTTGGTGTCAGCCAGACTAGTTCTCACTCATTCCTTCATTTAATAAGCATGTGTTAGGCCTCTTCCAAAGACCAAAGATTGGCATGCAAAGATGACCTGCTCCCTCCTCCAAAGCTAACCACCCACCCCTGCACCTCTGTCCTGTACCCCAGTTATGTATGCATAAATAAATTCTTTAAAAAGAAAGAAAAGAAAACCTTTTGGACTATGCTCTATGCTTAGTATGTGTCTCACACACAAAAAAAGGTGTAGGTTATTACCATTTTACAATATGAGCAACTCAGGGCCCTCCCTGGTGGCACAACAGGTTTAAGCACAGCACTAGAAAGCTCTCAGCAGCCACTGCAGCATGAATTTGATCCAGGGCCAGGGAGGTGACCCACATGGCATGGCAGACCTTTCCTGTCCCGTCCACTGCTACCCTCAGCAGTGTGTTTCAAATTTCTGCTTGCTATGCTCCCCACTCTCTCTCTGGTGAATCCTCTGACCCTCCATACCTCTGGCCTATACACCAGTTCTATATGCATAAATAAATAAATCTTAAAAAAAAAAAAACAAAAACAAGCATATCAGGGCCCAGAGAGGTCACGGGCATATCCATGACTCCAAGTCCACCAGGAAAATCCTACCCTCTTTCTCTGGTTTTCCCAACCAATATATCCCAGTTTTTGGAAGCACTGACCATGTTCTTCTTTAGCATTTTCTGTGGACTGATCCTACATATATACCTCAGCATCTCAACATGTCAGTATGTTTATTTGCCTATGTGTCTCCCTTTCTGTAAACAAGTCTGGGGAGGGAGCAAGTCATCTTTGCATGCCAATCTTTGGTCTTTGGAAGAGGCCTAACACATGCTTATTAAATGAAGGAATGAGTGAGAGCTAGTCTGGCTGACACCAAAGCTCCTTCTACTGAGCCAGGCTATGGGCCTTTTGGTAAAATAAACAGAAAGCTCATTAAGTGCTGTTTAGTGAAGAGGAGGAAAGGGAGGCAAAGGAAAAACAGGAATACTAGGCTAGAGAACCCTGAGACTGTCCAACCTTGGTAAACCCCCGGGTGAAGAAATAGCACCCAGTGATGACAAGGGATCACCCCAAGGTCACAAAGCCAGTAAAAGAGCAAGTGAGGTCTAACATCCGTCTCCTGTGGCCTCGATCACGTCTCTTTCTATTGCTGCGCAAAGCCTAGGCTGCTATGGCATGGGACACTGCGCCCACGCCGGTTAGTCACATTCCTTGATTGCCTCGGTTTCCCTCTCTGCACCCGTGCAGAAGCACCCTGGCAAATTTTGGATGATCGGCTAGTTCTACCCCCTCCCCACTCCTCCGGGGCGCGGCACAGGGCGCCGGCGCCAACCCTCACCAGCACCGCCAGGCTGTCCAGATCGACTGACGGGAGCCCCCAGCCCCCCGACCAGCAGAATAGCTCCATGGGCGCCGCCATCTTGCCCGCCCTCTGTCCCGGAAGCACCTCCCTCCGCGCCTCCGCCCTCCCCCGCGAGGGCCCGCCCCCTCCGGAGACTCGGGGCTGGGGGCTGGGGGAGGCGGACGTGCGGCCTCTCTCCACCCTGGAGGCGGCCTGAGGGCGGAGGGCGGAGTGGAGGGCTTCTGGGGAGGGCGGTCGCCGGCCGATCCCCCAGCGGCTTCCGAATGGGGGAGGGGCTCGCGACCAGGACAGCCTGGGAGGGTCTGGGCGCCTGGGAGAGTCAGGACGTCTCGGCCGAGAGGAGCCCCGGACCCCTCGAAGCTCGGCCGGACCAGGAGAAGGGGATGTTGTGCGCCTGGGCCAATTCTGGGAGCTTTCGGAAATCTTCACGTGGCCTGGTCTGCTCCCAGGCCCCTCAGGGCTCGGCCCGGAGCAGGGGCTGCGGGGGGGTCCCCCGAGCCGCATGTTTTCCACAGCGCGTTATGCTTGGAGCCGGCCCTGCGCCGCCTGTCGCCATGGAAACAAAACAGAGGCGGTGGCGGCGGCCGGAGCGAAGCCGGCTGGGGCTGGGGGAGGGGGAGGGGAGGTGGGGGCTCGCGGGCTGTTGTCTTGGTAACGGGAACAGAGGCCCCCCCTTCATCCGGGTCACGGCCTGTCTGCCCTTACCGTACCCAGTGCTCTCAGTGTGCCACCACGCCCCTGGCTTGCCTCCTGGTCTACCGGCCCTCGTGCCCGTGTCCTCGTCCCTGATTTCTTCACTCTGACCTCACTGACCACGGTTGCTGACTTCCTCCAGACTCCCAAGTTTTCCTAGGAATGAGGGAAAATGGAGGCACAGGCACATGCCAAGGGACCGCACCCTAACAAAGAGTGCTTCTTGCTCTGTCAGAGCAGCAAATTTCTTGCCATGTGGGCATTCCCTGGGTACTATAGCCAGCTAGTTTCTGCCACTCCCTTGGCATCCCCTCATGCTAACTGTGGAATAATGCCCACTGTCTGGTGCTGCCCCTGCCAGTGGTTCTTGCCTTTCCCAAATGTGGCTTCCAGAAAACAGTAGCTTTCAGTAGTGGTCCCCAACAATGAGGTGCCAGGAGAGAGGGAGCACCTAGGGGACCGCATGCTTAGGGCGAGGATGGAGGCTGGAGGCCGCCAGGACTCTTCCCAGTGCCCCTGATTCCCTGAGCTGGGGATGTCTCCTGGGTGATTGGCAGCTCTTTGTTTCAGCCCCCCCTCATCCTGCTGGCCCCCCCTTTCAACTCCCCCTTCCAGTCCCTCCGCCCCGCTCTCCTGCTCTCTCCGCCTAGCCTTTTCCCCTCCCAGCCGCCTGCCTGCCAGGGGTAGTGAGCGGGTTAGGCGGCATGGAGACACAGGAACTTCGAGGGGCCCTGGCTCTTCTCTTCCTTTGCACTTTCGCATCTGCCAGTCAGGAACTGCAGGGTAAGCCCAGCCCCATCCTCTTAGACCCCTCTCTGCCTCCCTCTCTTATGCCCCAGCCTCCTTACAGGGAGCAGGAAACTGAGCAGGAGGGGCGAGTTGGTGAAATTATGACCCTGTGGGGAGTAGACTTACAGTATGGTGGGTGGTTGGGAACTAGCCAGGGTCCGCATAAGGCCTGGGCATAGGACTCAGGTGCTGGATGCTTGGGCTGCAGGCCTTGGTTGAAATGTGAGCAGCCAAAGCCATCCTGAGGTCTGGGAGAGTAGCTAGAAGGTGGTACACCTTGAACACCAAGGTTTCCTTGACCCCTGCCCCTGGGGGTGGGGGCAGAGGGGAGAGGACCCTTCTGTCTGCACAAGGACCTGTGGCTGGCCGGGGAGCAACCAAGAGATCTGGGCTCTCCTGGAGGTCTGGTTAGTAGGACAGGCCCATGGTGGTAAGAGAGGTAGCAGGAGCAGATGACACAGGCACAGATTCTTTACTGGCTGGAAGGGAAACCACAGATTGGCCCAGACACGGGAGGCTGAGGAGCTGGGTCCTGCATTCCCTCGGGGAGAGAGCCAGACAGTGGGAGGGCTGGAGCCCTCAGTGGGTAGCTGTTCTCATCCAGAGTGAATGTGCTTAGCCCCCAGGATGGGAGGAAGGGCATTAGGGTGTGGAAAGAGCCAAACCTAGCAGGGTAAAGAGAAACTGCCTTCCCATTTCTGCTCTGTGGGCACCAGGTGACACTCATGCCTGGGTTCAGCATCGTGACTCCCTTTCGCCACCTGGTGGGAGCATCTCAAGTTTGCAGGGTGCTGTTTCTGTATTTCCAAGTGAACATCAGGCCAGCTGCTTCCCAGAGGGTGGCAGTAAGAAATATTGAGGGGAAAGGAAGGCAATGCATACCTTGTCCTCTGATAGCAACTAGGGCTGAATTTCAGTCTTAGTGACTGATGCTGTCTGGTAGTTTTGGGGGGGTGGGTACAATGAAGGCTCAGGAAAGAGGACAGGTACTTGACCCCCGTCTATGACCTTAACAATTTCTGCCTGGCCAGTGATCGACCTGCTGACTGTGGGTGAGTCTCGGCAGATGGTAGCTGTGGCAGAGAAGATCCGGACAGCATTGCTCGCTGCTGGGGACATTTACCTGTTGGCCACCTTCCGCCTGCCCCCCAAGCAGGGTGGTGTCCTCTTTGGTCTCTACTCTCGCCAAGACAACACTCGATGGCTGGAGGCCTCTGTTGTGGGCAAGATCAACAAAGGTGATTGGTGGGCATCTCCTTTCCTGAAGCGCTGATCCCCTTGCACATCTTCATTGCCACCTAGACCCCTTACCAGGGGCCACATCATAGGGAATAATTATGAAGTACTCAGGAGACCAAGTGTCTAAATAGTAGGGTGAGACCTAGTTGTGGAGATGAGATGCTACACTTGAGAATGCCTGGGGGAGGGAGAGGCCTCTATGTCCCCACAGTGGTCTAGAATGCCCCTCAGATCCCTGGGACACTTCAGTGGGTACAGAGCCAACTTCTGTCCGGGCAGAGGAGAGTGATCTGATGCCATTGCAAACCAAAAAAGTGATAGTCTTTCATCCAATTTGGAAAATATAAATTGTACGCCTATTATATGAAAGGTGTTGCGAGATACCTGCTGAATATGGGATGATAGCCCCGAGATGTGGATAATCCAAGGCTTAAGAGGAGATGGGGGAGGACCATGCCCATACTGACTGTTCTTCCTGGGCAGTGCTGGTGCGGTACCAGCGAGAGGATGGCAAAGTCCATGCAGTGAACCTCCAGCAAGCAGGCCTGGCGGATGGGCGCACGCACACAGCTCTCCTGAGACTCCGAGGTCCATCCCGACCCAGCCCTGCCCTGCAGCTCTATGTGGACTGCAAACTGGGCGACCAGCACGCCAGCCTCCCAGCGCTGGCCCCCATTCCTCCAGCAGAGGTCAGTGGGCTGGAGATTAGGACTGGACAGAAGGCTTATTCGAGGATGCAGGTGAGCAGGGTTGGAGGACCTCCTGCCTTTTTGTGGCAACAGAGTTTGTGCCAGTGGGAGCAATTATAGGCATTCCCCACCTAAATCTGCTCCTGCCCCATCAAGGGCTTTGTGGAATCTATGAAGATGATTCTGGGTGGCTCCATGGCCCAGGTTGGAGCCCTGAGTGAGTGTCCATTCCAGGGGGACGAGTCCATCCACCGTGCAGGTAACAGAGACCTCTTGACCAGAGCTTCTGTGGTCTTTGGTGTTCCCATCTTCTTGACCTTCCTCTTACCACCCATTCCTTTGGCTCACCTATCCTGGGGCTTCCAACCCAGTTACCCCCAACCCTTAATCTCTGACTTTATCTTCTCCATTAATAAAAGCCGTCCCAAGAAGTAGGCCCAAACAATCTCCCTGTGCAGGTCATTCTGGCTACTGGGAAAGCCAGAAAAGTAAAATGGTTCAGGAGGAGATTATTCTCCAGAACTCTGTGAGGAGATGCATGGCCTGGCGTTGGTTGACCTGAGAGGAGGGTCTGAGGGTCTCGGGTCTTTATTTTTTAAGATTCATTTATTTATGCATACAAGAACTGGGGTACATTTCAGAGGTGTGGGGAGGGCAGTGAGAGGATTCACCAGAGACAGAGTAGGGAGCAGAACAGGCAGATTGAAATAAACTCCTGAAGGGAACAGCAGGTGAGTCAGGAGAGGTCTGCTGTGTCATGTGGGGCAGCTCCCTGGCCGGGTTTCGAACTCATGCTACCGTGGCAGTGCTAGCTTCATAGTGCTGCGCTTTTAACCCACGGCGCCACCAGGACTGGCCCTGAATTCTTCAGGTCAAAGCTTGGGAGGAAACGCAGCCTGCTGGGGCTTGCTTAGACCATCGTGCATGTGAATCTCCTCTGCCATCACCTTTCCTGGGATCCGGGAGGATTTGGGTCCTTCACCCGAGGAAAAGAATGGCGTCACTTGCCAGTCACTTGTGTCCTACTATCCAACACCCCGTTTTATTCCAAGACTCGAGCCTTTTGTTCCTGTCCCCGTCCTCCCTCCTCTCACAGCAGGCTCCTGTTTCACACCTTTATCCTGTTTCTTCTCTCTAGTGACCAGTGCACTGCACTCCATCCTAGGTGAGTATGCTGCCATGGGGCGTGAGAGCAGGGGCCCAGGCTCTGGCCTCTGCTGAAACTGCATCCTCTTCAGCCCGCATTGTATGAGGCTCAATGGTGGAGGGTGGGTGGCAGTGGCAGAAGCTGACTTACTACCAAGCTGGTGCCCAGTTCTGAGCCTCTCCATACCTGGGCTCTGACAGGGGAGCAGACCAAGGCGCTGGTCACCCAGCTCACCCTCTTCAACCAGATCCTAGTGGAGCTACGGGATGATATCCGAGACCAGGTTTGAGTTGGCCAGCGAGGGGTGGCACCGGCCCTGGGGTGGGTGGCAGATGCTGAGAGCCAACTGCCCCCCCCCATGCTTCCGCCAGGTGAAGGAGATGTCCCTGATCCGGAACACCATCATGGAGTGTCAGGTGTGCGGTGAGTGGGAGAGGAGGGAGGGCTGCCGGTGGCATCTTTGTGCTCCTCACGCCATGGCTTGGCTCCCACTACCAGTGATTTGCATGTGGCCCCTGGTGGCTCTGTGCCCATTCCCCAGGCTTCCACGAGCAGCGTTCCCACTGCAGCCCCAACCCCTGCTTCCGAGGCGTGGACTGCATGGAAGTGTACGAGTACCCTGGCTACCGCTGCGGCCCATGCCCTCCAGGCCTGCAGGGCAATGGTACCCACTGTGCTGACATCAATGAGGTGAGGTGGGGAGGGCAGGATCTGGAAGGGCCTAGGAAGGCGGGGGTGGGGTGGGAATCAGGAGGTCTAGCAAGGCAGGGTAAATGTCATAGGCAGAGGAACCTGGAGTTTAGCTAAGGTCAAAGGTCAAAAGGGAAGTGAGAGCCAGAGGGCTTTGGGCAAAGAATGAAGATCCACACTGGGAAGTTGCTGGGGCAGGGGTAGAGGTGTGGGGGGTGGCTAGGCAGGAGGGACTCCACAGGGAGGTGGGGCTCATT